TGGTTCTGGTTCAGCAGGTCTATTTGTTTTGTTTTGCTTGTCTGTTCCACGGGTCTAGGCTATGGCTCTCCAAAGGAGGTGCTCTACTTCACTGACAACAGAGACAGAAAACTAAACATTTCCAAGCACTGCCTTGGTTTTCTTGATCTAAAGTGCAATTTCATAAAGAAATTGGAAATACCCTAATATATAAGGATAAAGAATTTCTTGAACAAAGTATGACACATCTTCACAACTAAATACCATGTGGCTTCTTGGAAAATCATGTTATGGAAGGAATTTAAAGACTTGGTTATCCCTGTGAACTAGCCCACCCCATAGCTCTCAAATCCAAGACATTCCCCTGTGACGCTCCTCTGACCACCCGTTTAGCCAGAGTCACAGATACATGGAGCCTCCTGCCTCAGGTGTATATGGGAAACTCTGAACCCCATGTAGTCATAAGAACCTATAGGCAATTGAAAGAGGTTAGGACAGAACTATCTGGGTCCTCCTTCCCTCCCTGCATCTCCCAGTTCCCCAAGGGCACTGGATGGCTTCCCTATATCCAGTTTTGAGTTCCCTCTGACCTTGAGATAGTAAAATTCAGGTGAAATCCACCGGTTCTCCCTTTCTGTCATTTGGAAATCCCTTCCTCTCTCCACAAAGCCTGATTTTACAACCACTGCTTTCCCCAGAAAGAGTAGAGAGGGAGCTTTGAGATATGATTGAACAATGGTCGTTTCCTCTGGGCTGCAACCTATGTTATGAACTTCAGAACTTGGCCATGGCCCTTGACAGCCACAGGAAGCATGTGGTGAAGAGGACAACGAAAAGACAACCATTTTATTTGAAAAATGTTATCTAAACTGCAGTTTAAAAAACACTTTCCTTTTTTTCATTTATCTTTTTTTTTAAGATTTATTTATTTATACAAGCACTGGGTACAGTCAGAAGCGCGGGAGGGTGAGAGAATTCACCAGAGCCAGAGCGAGGAGCAGAGCAGGCAGAAGGACCGAAGTACACTGCTGAGGGGAGCAGCGGGCGGCAGGAGAGGTCTGCGCGCCATGCGGGACCCTCCTGCGGTGGCTGGGGAGCAGCCGGGGATCGAACCGGCGCTGCAGAGGCCGCGGGCGGCTTCGCAACCCAGCGCTCAACTGCTGCGCCACCGGGGAGGCTCCACTTTCCTTTTTGAACGGTAGCTTTACAATTTGCCCACCTGGTCACTTTGTTGTACTCCTGAAAACCTACTTTCCTTCTTCCAGTCCCTTGGGCTGAGCTAGTAATAGGGGCTCTGGAAGGCGGGGCAGGGGAGAGGGTAGCGGGTGTTTGAGGGGGCTGACTTGCCCAGGAGGACTGGAGAACTTGCTTCATTCTGCAGTTTAGGCCACAAGGAGGGAGGCTTGTGGGCCAGAGGTCTCAGTGCCGAGCACTGCACAGAAGTCAGTGGACACCAATTCTAAAGGACAGAAGCAGAATCCCAGCTCATGTCAGATGTCAGCTTCTGGCCATACAAATGACTACCTGCAGCAGAAAACTTTTTCTTCTTCTTTTTACTGAGGTAATGTTTTTCAACACTGTATATGATTTGGGGAAATAGGTTCATGCCTCCTCAGATGTATGTCACTACACTAGTCTAGTTCTTTTTTTTTTTTTTTTTTTTTTTTAAGATTTATTTATTTATACAAGCACTGGGTACAGTCAGAAGCACGGGAGGGTGAGCGAATTCACCAGAGCCAGAGTGGGGAGCAGAGCAGGCAGAAGGACCGAAGTACACTGCTGAGGGGAGCAGCGGGCAGCAGGAGAGGTCCGTGCGCCATGCGGGACCCTCCTCCGGTGGCCGGGGAGCAGCCGGGAAACAGCCGGGGATCGAACCGGCGCTGCAGAGGCCGCGGGCGGCTTTGCAACTCAGCGCTCAACCACTACGCCACTGGGGAGGCCCAAGTTCTGCTCTATCACAGCACCCCTAGTCCTTTACCATAGACGATGGACCCCCGACTCACTTTGTTTCTATCCTCCCCCTGTCTTCCCTCTTGTAATGTCAATCCTGCCATCATATTTCTGGGGCTTGTTTGGTTTAGTTTTGTCACCTCCTTTTTTTAGTTTCTCTATGTTCCATATGTGAGTGAAATCATCTGGTGTTTGTCTTTCTCCTACTATCTTATTTCACTTAACATAACCCCCTCCAGTCCCATCCATGTTGTCACAAATGGCAAGAATTCATCCTTTTTTATAGCTAAGTAGTAGTCCATGGAGTACCTATACCTCATTTTTTAAAATTCATCCGCTGTTGTTGGGCACTAAGTTGTTTCCATCACTGCGGTCCCATGTACAGGGGGGATCTGTAAATCTACACTCAGTGGTTGCTTCTCACTTCAAATGATCTACTGTTTTGCTCCCAATATTCACTTTTCTCTTCCTTACTGGGCTATTTTCATTGTCTCCTTCTTCTTCACCCCTTCCAAATTTAATACGCACGCATAGCTTCATCATCATAGAGTATCCTTGGAATATACTTGGATCCTCCAACCAATATAATCATTGTACCTTAGTTCTATAGCTTAAGGGAACAGCAAGATGAATCCCTTCAGTGACACCCAGAGAGGTTATCTGACTTCTTCAGGGTTATCCAGCGAAGTAGGAGCAATAGAGAAAGCTGGCCTAGTGTTATATTTCTCCAGTCTTCCTATAATGTATTCATAGAAGACAAATACATTTTAATACTAAACCAAGCAATGCACAGAATTTCAAATCTGCACATGCACACACACACACACACGTGCACACGCACATTGCTCTCTGGAGCATACATGCATGCTTTTGATAATCTGCTGTTGAAAAACTTACTTTTCCTTGCTTACCCCCCACAACTGCATTAGCTTAGATAACTAAAAGTTGACTCTGTATCTACATTTTTTAAGGCTCTCCTTTTTAGAAGCAATGCCCATTTTGAGACAAGCCTACACATATGTGAAAAATGTCATGCTTTATATCATGTGGTGCCTCTGGGCATTTTGTCAAATTATTTCCATTTTTCTACTTCGGGCCCTAATGATCCTAGACACTCACTATGCAAGAGAGAGAAATATGTTTCCTGCCTCCCTCCCCTTGAAATATTCACCATGGCAAGTAGGAAAGGGCTTTCAGGTTCAGTATGTTCTGCTCAGATGGATCATGAAGGGCCTCAGCCTCTGTTCATGTTTGCGACTCTCTTGTTGCTATTATCCTCATCTATGTAAGTGCCCTGGTAATCTGCAGCCTGTCTTTTCTCCTTTGGAACAATCTCTGTTCTTTATACCCAAGCTGCCAACTTCGTGCTTTCATTTTGCTGTTCCCACTACTACTTTGCTATCTGTGTACTTGTATCCATGATTAGGAGCAAGGAGCAGTAAATAGAATGCATTCCTTTAGCACCCCCCACCCCCACCCCAAAACAATATCCGAAGCCCCTCGTGCACAAGGTCTCCATTTAACTGGGCTCCAAAGGGAAGGCACGCCTACCAGGACCAATCTGGCCACAAAAGCAATAGGCACGTTCCTTCTTTAATTCTAAAATTTTCTTGCTCTGTTGGCATATTCTACAGATCTTTGAGCAGGGACAAAAATCAATTCAAACCTTTCCAGGCTGCAGCCAGTCTCATGAGGCTCCGAGAGCCAGCAAGACCTGGTTTACAAATCTTCTTTACCCAGGCATATGCTCAGAGTTTCTGCTAATTGCCAGTCCTGGGTCTGGGGCTGGTGCTAAGATCTGCTTTCAGTTAAATGGGCTGACTGCCCCCTCAAACTAAGGGACTTTATTTAGGATTAATTCAAGTGTGCGCAAAATAGTTCCCGTCATGCAAAATGCTTCTATTTTCTTGGGAGAATGAAAGCATCAAAAATCAAATGGAATATTTTAGCATTGAGGCACTCCAAAAACCCTGTTTATTTCCCAAATCACAGAAAATAATATATTAGGAAAATGATAAAATATATCACCATGCTGAAATTGGAGAATATTTTGTTGTGGTGAAATAGAGAGGATGATGCCAAACACTTGAGAAATAAAGGGGGGGTTACTAACCTGAGGCCTTAACAATCTGTGATATGCCCCTTCCCAGACTCTGCAGTGGGATGTGAGGCAGCTGCCCACGAGATATAATTACAAGGTCCCAGAGAATCTTGTAATGGCAAGGGGGATAGAGAGGCTTCCAGCCATTGACGGAGGCCTGACATTTTACACTTCACACTTAGAGGTTTTTTTTTCCTTAACTTAAAGATCTACATGCTGGTAAAATGCAAATAAACCCAAGAGAAAACAATATTCTGTGAAACTATTGCTTGTTTATATTTCAGAGTGAAGGATTTGTCAAAACCTTTCCTAAGAATAGACTTCGATAGGTAGGGGAGGTGCTGAGGAGAGAGTATTTAGACCACATTGATTTAAAGGTATTTACACTGATGGAAGTCAGAGGTAGAATGGGAAGATGAAGATTAGCATATTAATTTTGTGTTAGCTAAGCATTATTTACAATGTCCAAAACTGAGGAACTCCCTGTTTGTGGAAGTGATCTAGAATAAGCTGCACAAGCCCTTGACTGGCAAGAATGCCATAGACAGGATTTAAATATTGTATGCCGGGCTAGACTCAATCCATGTAATTGTCAATTTAGCAAACATTTATGGTGTACCTTCTACCAGACTTAGTAATATGATGCAGACGCATTTTGTCTTCAGATAGCTTACTGTCATGTCAATAGGTAATTCCCACCAGTTCTGTTTGCCAGTCTAAAGCCTCTTCTTCCTGAAGTCTGCAGTGTAATAGCATTTTCACTTGAGCAACAGTGTTAACTAAAGGCTTTGCCCAAAGTGTTTAAAAGAAGGCAGTTGAGTGGCACAAGCTGCTCCTAACCTTGCCTCCGCTGCCAAGAGAGAAACTCATCATTTCTTGTGAGAACTGCCTGAGCCAGAGTCCACAGGACTCTGTGTAAAGGGATCTGATTAGGGATGTGCAGCATAGGGCTAATAAAGGAATTTCCTACCTTAGATGTTCAAAGCATCCTTCTCAACAGAATTCCAAAGGGCTGTTTCTTAAGAACTATTTAAATAAATAATTTGCTGAAAGAGAAAGACAAATATTCACTAGAAGTAATTGGATTTTAAAAAGTAACTGATTCAAGAGAAAAATCAAAGTCAAATCCAAGCACTTTCATTTTTGTTTACAACACCATGGAAGGGCTTCTAAATCACCAGTGTTCCCCTCCGCCTACCATCGCCCACCCACGGAGAGGAGAGGATGTGAGCTCAACTCAAGCATAGAAGACAGTGGAGGCTTGATCTGAGTCAAATTGTATTTAATTGACTTTCTTTTTAAAAGAGTTTTCTCTTTTCTCACCCCAGTGCTTGAGGTCAGAAATCTCTGTAATTTTGCTTGTCTTCCAATCTGTGCTCTGAATCTGGCCTTGTGAATAAGAGTGTCATGAGCATCTGGATTGAAAGCACATCAGTGGACAATAGCATCAAGTCACTATATGTTGGCAAATGTGAACCAAAAACATATATAAATGTGAAAGCAAGCGAAATATGGTATAATTATGATTTAAGAAGTTTGATAATATAATCTTAGTAAAGGTAAGCCAGAAATTCATTTTGACATGACTTCTTCTAAAATAAAAGATTATCAATAATAAAAACACTATGTTTTGTATTTTCTCATATAGTACTGAATGTTACTCTCATAAAAATTAAGTAGATATCTCTGTTTTAAATATGAGCAAATAAAGTGTCAGGAAGTTCAAATTTTTATAACAGACAAATAGGTGGAAGACTTAAAGTTTGGACCAAGCTTTTCAGGATCTAGTATTAGCATTCATTTAGTTAAAACATATGTGTTCTCTGAAGTATTTAATTTTTGCCAATACCCAAGACTTTCAGTTACAGGACTATAGAAAGTTCTTTCCTTATTTTGTGATTTTATCAGTCCATCTAATAACAGATACTATACATAAGAGTGTACATTAGAGGACTCAAAATAAGCTCAGACATGGTCTTTATCTGTAGAGGAGAAAAGTCACTCACACCAAAGAGAATATGATATATAAATAAGTGAAATACTGAGAAGCAAAAGGTTAATGATGATTGCAATCATTAACGAAGGCTGAAGATATAGGTTGGTCTTGATAAGAAATTTGACAAAAATCTCCAAAGGAAGGTAGCACGACTATATATTGAAGGTGGTAGATGATACCTAAAGTCAAGTGGACTCTTAGAATTTCATATAATTCTAGAAGATCAGTCATAATATAGTGATTGTGTCTTGATGCAGATTTCCAGGTAAGTGCTATACATCCACAACCTGGGTTTCAGAGACCAGGCTATAGTAACAGCAAGATTCTTAGGGCAAAAGACAAATCTGTGGCCTGCTAGTGTTAAGGGGAGACAATGGTTTTATGGACACCTAGAATAATCCAAGCACAGAAGCACAATCTAATGTAGCCATATTTGGTCCATATCTCACCAAAGATTTCTAGCTCTGAACCTACTAAAAAAGGGCGCTTTCCTAATTTTGACTCAAAAGCACCTGTTAGATGAGATGTCACTCAGTGCCAACTGGGTTGAGTGGGAAAAGCAGGCTGTGGCTGACTGATAGATAATTGAGAAAATTAGGGATGACAAATAGAATCAGTGATTGTGGAAAATACAGCATTTATATGTAAATCAGACAAATGGGACCTAGGATCCCACAATATGGCACCATTAACTCAGAAAGAATGTGGAAAATTTCTATGTGACCAAAAGATTTCTATCTTGTAATATAGAATGAAAGGGTGATAATAATCACTGTTATTATTGCATTAATAATAGTATCATTTGCCATGTATAATAGATCATATTTATGGAGTGTTGTCTCCTTGCAAGCTGTGGGCTAAGCACAGCACACTGTATCTGAATCAAGTGGCAACACAACTGAATGCATAGTAACTATTTCTATCTTATATATGTGAATGCTGTCTTTGACTTGTGCAAATACTCTTCACTAAGGAGGAGAATGTTAGTTCTGACTAATACTCTTACTTTGTCTGATGCAGAAACCAAAGGCATCCTTCTCATGAAAGATTAATTTGTAAATGCCAAGATTCCCAGAGAAATTAACTGTGCATATATGAAACAAGGAAGACACCATTGGTCTAGTGGGGAACACCAGATTGGAAAACCTCAGAGAACAAATGGTGATTTGTCTAGTGACCTGTTGCTGATACTTGATCTTCTCTGGGTTAAAAAAAAAAAAAAGGAGAACCTTCCCTTGAAGTGGTACCTTATCCCCTATTGTCACAAATCTGCCCTGCTGCCTTTGGGGATCTTGTGGAACTCATGGAAGGAATTCTTATCTCTTCTCCCTTATAGTTGAACAATCTGAGAGAGAAGACACTGTCTTACTTTCCACCTTGTTTAAAATACAGACACCCATACTCCCTGCCCCCCATCCCAAGACCCTATTCCAACCACAAGTCCATCGGATTTTCATTAAGGACATGAAAGTCTAAACTCTTATGCAGAATTTCTTTAAAATAATTCCTCTCAACCTGGCATTTGTGGTACAGAAATGAAACAATTCATTTTGACAAGTTGCACTAAACTGAGGCCTGAACCATACTGTGAGAGCCTCTCTGTGGATCCTATAAAATACTCAGGAAATATGCACTTGACATCTGGTTTGCTGGATTCCTGCTGAGAAATGGAGGCTTTGGTGTGAGACTGTCGGTCCAGACTGGCAGATTGGCTGTGCATATAACTGTGCATGAATCCACACAAAGGGGTCATGTTCAGGCATTAATTGGGCATGTTCCAACAGAATCTTAAGGAAGCACAAGAGCTAAGATTGAACACTTGGATTCTTGTGCAGGGAAGGCAGCAGTAACTTAGGGATATGAATGTCAGGCATGCACCTCTAAGAAATATAGAACATGAGGTGCATGTTGTAGAATACAGTTCAAATACCAAGGTACTTTAAAGTGAAAAGAAATGTTTAAAAAAATGATCAAGAATTGATAGATGTTAGCAAGATTGCAGAGTTGCATTTCTCAGTGCTTTTCTGGGTAGGACTAAAAGCTAACTGGTTCACAATAAAATATTTTTATATTTTAATGTGAGCCTCAATAGATATCCACAAAATAGAAATTAAATATATGAAGATGAGTTTGCCATAATAATACTTTAAATGTCAATTAGTAAAGAAATTATTAAATAATAAACCGGGTTGAATTTTTACAGCTTCTTCTAATATATATTAAAATCTTACTGAGTGGCGTAACCCAGTGATAAAGCAATAGGTGTACAGTTAGAGTGCCAGAGTTCAATGCTTAAATCTACCATTCCTTAATAATAGACTTCCTTAAACTCTTTGTTCTTCATTTTCCTTATCCATAATACAGGATAATCATATATTCTTCATAACATTGCTGTTAGATTTAAAGGTGATAAAGAAGGGATCTTGGATTCTCTCCACACAGACCTCTCCATGGGCTGTTGAGGCTTTGTGACAGCAAGGCAGTGAGTTCCAAAAGTCGGTCTTCCAAGACACAGGAAGAGAAAGTTGTCATTTTCTTCTGGCCTTAACCTTGTCACTTTGTCACATTCAGCTGCAAGGGAGACAGGGGAATATACTCATCGAAGCAACCATGTGACCAAATAAAATTTTGTGTAGTCAATAAAGATGGAAGAAAATGCATATCAGATATGAACTGGTAATATTTTTCCATAGCAAGTAACAACAACAAAATCTGAATGCAATTTAACATGGTTCAAAGAAATATAAGCCCCATCCTAGGGGCTCAACCAAGAATCAAAAACTAATAGCCACCTTAACTGGAGTTTTAGAAGACAGCATTTTAGATTATAATATTGTGGAGTTAGAAATACATTTTCAAATAGTCTAATTCTATTCTCTATTTTTAAAGATAAGAGAGCAGAAATTCAGAGCAGTTATTTCTTGCTCAGTGTTACATACGTAATTACCAGGACTAGCCTCCTCTTTAAGTTTAATCAGTCCTCTTGCCAATATATTTTGTAATAACTCACTAACCCTCTTTCTGTGTACCAACTAATATAATTATGATAAAATGATGACAGTACTCTAAGGAAGAGTTTAATCCCTTTGAAAATGATTAGCCTTCTATTCTTTCTAGTGTTCATTGTGCCCAGCACTGTGCCAGGTGCTTATTAAACTGGATAAATTGTAACAACAACAACAACAACAAAAAAAAATACCACTGCAATCTTGCCGTAAGGGAGTTCACAGTCTAATTTTGGAGGAAGTAAATAAATGTTGAAGAAAACAAGATCATAAAATGCATACAAGAAGAGGAAGAAATATCACAGAAACACAGAGAAAACAATGACACCTTGAGTTAGTCAGGGAAAGCACTATATTTGAACAGGATTGCAATAGGAAGGAAAGAAGAGGAGAGTTGTTATAGCAGAGGAAACATGGGCCAAAGGGAAGTGGACATCCTTGAATTAAGGGGTCGAGAGGAGAGGCCTTTCCTCACTCTCAGTAGGTGAGAAACAATCACTAAAATGAAGGCCATGGTAGAGGTGGTGGACGATGCATTTAAGAAAACTCAGGAACTAGGAGTTATAAGACTTGGAAATGAAGTAGTGTTGGGTGATGAGGAAAAGTTGGAATCTAGTGTATCGCCTTTGTTGCTCCATCAGGCAACTGGGTGGCTGGAAGTACCACTCCACAAGGGAAGGAACAGAACAGGGATCCCATGTTGGTTGGGAAGAAAATGAAGTATATCTGAATATATTGTATTTAAAGCAAATCTGTTCACTTAGTTGAAAATAGAGAGTAAACAGTCAAGTGATGGTCTTAATATTGGAAGAACAATCTGGTCTAGAGACATCACCATAGAAGACCTTGGTGTTTAAGTGGTAGATAGAGAGTATGCTACATAAAAGATAATGACAGAGAGTGTGCTACATAAAAAGATATTTAAAGAGATTATCTGTGAACCCCTATATTCAGTGGCAGTGTGAAGAATTGTGATCGATATAGGAAATGAGAAGGAGTACTGGACAGAAAAGACTTTAGTGTCTGGATTTATTAGTGAAAAAGAACAGTGAAATCCAAGACGAGAGGACCCATCAGTGCCAAATGTTGCTAAGTGGTCAACATGAGGACTGGAAATTGTCCAGTGGAATTTGTATCTGGAAACTGTTACTGGCATTAGAAAGGGTGGTCTGGAGGAGCACAGGGAGAGAAGACATAGGTCAGTGTATCAAAGAAAGGAGACAGTAGCTTTTTCTAGTGTAGGATACTTGCTTTGGGAGTCTGACTAGGAGGTGAAAGAGAGGGGGTCATTAATGGCTATAAAAGAGACAAGGTGAATAATATTTTTAGCAATGGAAGATAGTTGAGCATGTTGTATATTGACAGAAATTGGATGGTAGGAATGAAATTAAAAAACATTCTACAGGGCCTCCCCGGTGGTGCAGCGGTTGAGCGCTGGGTTGCGAAGCTGCCCGCAGCCTCTGCAGCACCAGTTTGATCCCCAGCTGCTCCCCGGCCACCAGAGGAGGGTCCCACACGGCGCGCAGACCTCTCCTGCCGCCTGCTGCTCCCCTCAGCAGTGTACTTCAGTCCTTCTGCCTGCTCTGCTCCCCGCTCTGGTGAATGTTCCCACACTTCTGACTGTGTCCAGTGCTTGTATGGATAAATAAATAAATCTTTAAAAAAAAATTCTGCAAAAGAGAGGAGCTAATTGATGCAGAAAGGTCTAAAAGGAAACAAAAATGGTGGGTTCTAAAGAAGAAATGAAGTTAGGCTTGTACAGGTGTAGAAAGCACATTCCCTCTGTCTCTTTGGAGAAAACAGAATTATGGAAAGAAAGGAGAAAGGGAAAGAGGGAGGAAAGTAGAAGGAAGGAAAAGACGAGTAAGAGTGTAGGATCCAGGAAAGCCTATATAAATGTTTGCAAGCCTGGGACATGAGAATTGAGTTCTCAATCCTGTGTGTTCTCTGTGCAATCAGATATGAGATAAGCATCTGCTCAGGAACAGAGGGAAAATATTGGAAAAAAGACCAAAAAAAAAAAAAAAAAAAGCATGAAGACCCTGAATGGAAAGAAAGCTGACCAGGGAAAAGCAGTGCTCTGAATGGCTTTTGTTTTTGTTCGGAGTTACTCATCAGCCTGGAATTGTTACAGCGGAAGGAGCATTTCTGTGGCCTCGGGACTGGCACCTTCTCCCATGTCTCCACTTCTCCGTGCCACCAACATGGACTACAACTCCCTGCGTGCCATAGACTGGACTTCCAGAATGGAGAGCAGCTGGGAAGGAGGAAGAAGGGAGGCAGCCGTTGAGTGGAACAAAGAGGAAGGAGACACACCTGGGGTGGTTTAGGCAGGTAGAGTCTTCAGGGCCTATGGCTGCTATCCCCTTGACCATGTGGTTGGTAGATTGGCCAGCTGGGATGTTACATTGTATATTTTGGGGCTTTCCTTCTGTTCCAGTTCTCAGGGATCTGCCTATCACTTGCTTGTTGTTCCGTGCTAGGCAGAGACTGGACCTTGTTCTCCGAGTGCCTTTTCAGCTCCAGGCCCTGCCTGGTTGACTGGGCATTTGCCTAGAATGGAGAGTGTGATTTCTGAGGTGTATCAGAAGTCTCCCCGCTACTCCTGTTCCCTCCTTCTCTATTCATCCCTTTAGAGCCTCTCATGACTAATACTCTCTGAACACAACAAGAATTCATTTTCTTTGCCTTTATGCATGTGGGTGACTATACTTTTTAGAATGGGCAAAATGGATTTTTCCCCTTAACAGTTTGGGGTCTCTGGGCACCCTCAGTTATATAAGGCTTCAGAATGATTTGGTCTGGAATGGAGGGTGTGTTCTGCTGGGAAGAGAGAACAACAGGGACATTAAGAAGATGGTGGTGTTGAGTGGGTGCGGATTAGGAACATAGAGCTGAAGTAAACTGCATGGAGAAGTAGAAAAGCTAAGACGAAAAGTCGGATAGACTGCGATGAAAAGAAACAGCCTGGGATGGAAGGTACCTGTGAGAAGACGGCATGGGTGAAGAAAGTAAATGCCTGAGAGGGAGTAACTACAAATGAAAAAGGTTCAAGCTGAGGGCTGCTGAAATTGAGTAGAAGCAAACACTGCGACGAGCAGCCAAGAAGGATTGAAGAGAGTGGAGTAGAAGGCAGATTGTTCACACAAGCAGTAAAGGTCAGAGCTTGAATGGAGAGGAAGATGCCTCTAGTCACAGGACACAGGACACAGGGTCGGCTCTGCAAGGGGAAAAAACCTAGGGGAGACTTTCCCAGTGAGCACACCAGATGCACTGGTGCTGTGCCTGGTGCAAAAACCTGGGCTTTTCAGGATGGCTGTTTCTTTGTGTTTGTGATTTAGAATATAATCATACTGCATCTCTTGCCTTGTTCTTCAGCATATCTACAGTTGCTTAGGAGATAAAAACGCAGACTGCTTGGAAATTCCACATGACTCCCTACAGCATGACCGCTGCGAGAGTGCAAGCGCCAGTCTTTTCTCTGAGATTATCAACTACAAAGGGCACAGTTTGCAATTTTAGTTTCTCAATAGAGACCAGTCTGCAGCTGCAAGGAAGTATGTGCAAGGCCCTATAAAGCCCTGTCTTAGTTACAGACCTGGCAGCCCCACGTTGGTGATAACAGTGCTCTCCATGTGGAAACCAATGGCAGAGCTCGAGTGTTTGCCCCAGCAGATGATTCTGGGTGAGATAATTATGACAATGAGGCTGTGTCCTGTGTCCGATTGTGGTACAATACCCAGGGCTGCACAATTTCCCCGTGGTGCTGTGACCACATGTGGAAGGATTGGGGCAGAGAATGAAGCAAGGAATGAGGGACAGCATTTAAGTAACAAGCTGGCAGAATTTATGAGGAAACTGACATTTATTAAATAACTTTGAAAATGCATTGCACAAAAATGGGCTATTTTATTATTTGTTTGTTTGTTTGTTTTTAAGTGAGAGAATCATAGCCCAACCCATTGCCTATCTCCTCTATCCCACCTCTCTCAGACTCCTCCACACACCCAGTTGGCAAAATATGCCTGTAATGTGTAAGGGTTAAACACATCTAAACCTCCAAACCCATTCTTATGGCCAAAAAAAAAAAAAAAAAAAAAAAAAAAAAATTTTCACCACCTGCCCCCTTCACTCACCCAAGGCATTCCTGTTAACAGGCTTCTCAATGGTTCTCAGATTTGCAAATTGTTTCCCATTCAATTCACTTGAGCAGATGTTTATTGAAAACTTCCTAGGTGCTCAGCATAAAAGAGCATGGACTCTGGAGTCAAGACATGTGGGTTAAAATTTAGACTTTGCCATTGCCAGTGTGACAAGTTAACTTATAAAATTCCATCTTCAGTTTGCTCACCAGAAAAATGTAGAGAACAGTACACCCTACATCATAAGATTGCTGTGAGCATTAAATGATATGATATGTGGAAAGAGCTTAGCACATTGCCTGGCAGGCAATAAGTATTCCACCAATGCTTGCTATTATCTTTAATTCTATCAAGTTTTTTAAAAGTGCAGCAGATGAACTAAATCTCAGTCTTGGTCTTATTTGGAATGACAGGAAATGAAACAAGATGAGCGAAAAAAATAGGTATGCTAACCTCGACAAAAGCAATCGGTTATTCAAACAATAAACAGGGTCACTGGAAAGACAGGTAGAGTTTGTCCAAAGGTGAGTTGATGGCAACAGCTAAATGCAATTCCCCTAATTCTATTTCACAGCAGCCAGTATAACCTCTGGAGAATCATCCCTCAGTTCTACCGGAAGGGGAAATATGTGAGATGCAAGGTATGTTGGGTCCTGTAGTTTACTAATCTAGGTATCTTTTTAGCCCTCCCCCGCCTCATTTTAAAGAATCTACATATTATTATTCACTGGTTTAACATACACTGAAATTATAGATAATCTGACAAACAAATGGTATTAGCAGTAGTTTTATATAAGGTGGTATATAATACACACAGAGCTTTTCTATATATATGATAGGAACTTACAAGAAGTGGAAGGGTTTAGCGAAAAAGCAAAGAGAAAAAGGGGCATTGCAGAAAAGGATTTTTAAAAAATAGACCAAGAAGGCATAAAGATAGGAATGATTGTATAAGACAGAGGGAAAGAAGGAGAACCATATGCCCTCCAAGCAACATGCTGAAATTCAGGGAAATTGGATGGAGAGATTGGCATTCCAAAGCAATCCTGCAAGAACACCAAAATGTGATAACTATGTCTTGGGAGTGCAAGACACACACTCTGGCATATTGGGAGAGGGAAGTCTGGGGCTGTGATTCCTTCTATGAACGTACTCCAGTTTTCTCACCATGCTGTAAGCTCCTGAGACAGACCATACCTTATTTTCTGTCAAAACCATAACTCATAGCTGTGACTGACTCAAAGGAAGTGTTCAGTAATTTGCAGAATTAAAAGAAATGCAGGAAAGAACTGAAGAGGAAAGGAAGAGGGGATGGGAAGAAGAAGGAAAAAGACAATATTTATTGTCAGGGTAGGTCAATATAATGACTGGTTTCAGGAATGGAGGGTCTACAGCTAACTGGACAGCCCACACTTGTCTACTGTTATCCATTAGTTTTCACCAGAGGTAGACTCTGTGAATGAACTGTTTTTGCTGTGGATTGACTTCAGGTTGCAAATGAAATGATCTCTTCCTCTGTCGCTTTGATGACTATCCATCCCAAGGCATTCCATTTAGGATCAGTCCCGGTAGTAAGGACTGTGCACCAGGCGGAATATTAAGTATGCAATTTTTAATGTCATCAAATAGTTATGTGCTAAAAGATAAGCTAAAATAAGAGTGTAACTGAGCAATGAGATGAAAGCTGAGTAAGTTCATGATAGAAAACAAATGTAGCAGAACAGTCTTCTCTCTTTTTTTCCTTTTTCTGTAAATACGAAATTTACTAACACTTCCACTTTCCTCGAGCTGCATAAGGCTCGAGCTACATATATATAGTCGCTGTGAGCTCACCAGGATGGAAAAACAAGGTGATAAATAGTCGGGGTTAATCACAGTTCCATCAGTAAGGCTCTCAGGTGATTGTGATTGGTTTCTGGGAGGAGTAAGGGATGCTTCTCTGAAAGAGAAAAATTTCAACAAGTCCTTCCAAGAGCAACATGGAGAGTGAAAAAAAAAAAAGAGAAAAATCACTTTTTTGTTTTGCGATGATGGAGTACCTTTCTCTTTGTAGAAATGAAGGATAGAAAACGTTTATTCAGTTGGTGATTACCTCAGCTTTGCATCTTTCTTTTTTCAGAAGAGTTTCAGTTCTTTTCAAAATTCCACACACAAACCCACCAGGGCTCTGAACAACAGAGCAGAGTTTTTAAGGAGTTCTACCAAGGGGGAGGGTGTCAGAAGAACCAAGCCTTCAGCCTTGTCTGTCTCTTCTTTGTTGTTGTGTTTTTGTTTTTAAATAAAGCTGCAATTGGCCTGGTGCGATCTGATAGGAGTAGTATTATAAACTTGAACATCTACGGTGTTAGAAAAAAATGATGAAACGTACAACAGGGAAAAAAAATAGAAGGAAAGAAAGAAAGAAAAGGATCTAAATGACTGGCAGATCCCATTTCTTTACAAGTGTTACATTTCAGTCCCCTGCCACTACCACATGTTTCCTGTTCACAGATAATTTGTACAACATATTTTATCATTCAGTTTTAGACACAGTTGAAAGGCTTTTGCCTAAGGCTTGGAACACTTTGAAAATTGTATACCATTTGCAAGGCTTTCTTCTGCTTCACTGTGCAATTAGGTGACTGTCTTTCTACAGACGTCGAATTTATCATTTATGGGATTGTGGATGTGTGAGTGTGTTTAAAAACCAAGGTGAACTAGAAAATGAATGGAGTAGTTTTCAATAACCTACACACGAGGGATGAAAGCAGCAAAACAGAAATTTCAAGCTCATTGAAGGACTGGAGTTCGCAGTCAGCAAGTGGGTTTTCTCCCTTAAAAACTTCAGTTCTGGTAGGTTTTAGATCCTACCATTGTTTACATATTTACTGGGCTTTACAGTCTCTACTAGTAGTTACATTACGATGTAATAATCCTAAAGAAGCCAGTTTCATTAATCTCTGCGAAAGCGATTTCAGGACATTTTGTTAGCTTCCCCTGCAATCTTCTTTGCCCTGTCTTGCCTGAATTTCACAGTTTGCCTGTGAAGCACTGACGTGCTCAGAGCTTCCCCTGGTGGAAGTTGCTGGCAAAAGGTGTTCTAGCCAAGAAGGGCGAATCTGGGACTTGCTCCCAGGAAGGGGCTCAATGGAGTGTTCAGTTGCCCAGGAACAGAGAGAACATAATGTGACTGGAGGTTGTGATTGAATTTCCTATGCGCTTCTATGTTTTACATAACCTGAATTTTAAAGTCAGATTTGATAAAAGATAACTTATTCCCATCATTATGCCGCTTTGTATTTTTCCACTGAATAATGCAAACGAAAAGAGCGAGGGAGAGAACCCCATCCCACCCTCCCAGGAAGTGGATGACTTTCCTCGGAGGTTGAATTCAGCATCTGTCATTATGCAGCGATGTGGTTCTTCTGTATTTTAAAAACATGGCAATAAAATGGTTGGGGAAGAGTTTGAACAGCATTCTCTCTTTTGATGGGAGAGACTTTCTAGGCCTGCATGGGTAGTTTAAGGTGTTTTTTTCTTCTTCAGAAGGCAAACTTTCCATATTAATTTCACTTATACTATAAAGTTTCTACAATATTTGTTAGCCTCTAAATCCTAATAATATCTTTATATGTTTTAGGTGATAAAAATTTCTAAGGCAGGTTTTCAGGAAGGGTTTAGAGAACTGCGAACAGTCAATAAATGTGGTCACTGTTGATTAAGATGAAAGGATGACAGATTAGTAATTCATGATGGTGGTGAGAAAAAAGCAACAGAATTTGAATGCTATTTAGAAAACCTTCACAAGCCTAAAGCGAAACTTAACCAAAAAAATGGGAAAGAGGAGGGAGGAGAGACAAATATACTTCATCCGGCAGCGTTATTTGTTTCAAGAAACATTATCAATTATCAACCAACTAACATTGACTTTTTGAAACAACTAATCATTAGATTTAAATAATTTTATACCCCATATAACTCTGAATGCTAAGCAGGCTAAAAAATGCCAGACACATGTTCGGATGTAAATCTATTCAAATGATTTACAAAGATAATACACTCTTTCTGATTATGTACTCATTACAGACATAGATGCACACAAAAACAAAACAATTATATTCAAAGATCAAGTCCACCTAGCTGTGATGACCCTGTCAATTCAGAAGTGGGATCTGAACTCACACGGGCTGCTTGCCTCCCGTCTTCTCTGACAAAACATTAAGGATAATGTAAAATAAAGCCACTTAGAAATGCTATCCACTGTCAGTAATAGAGAAGGACGATTAAAGCTGTGGAGACATTTGCTAGATTTATACATGTGCACACAGCCAAGACCGAGGGGTTTGGGTCGGTCAGAATGTCACTGTAATAATAATTTATGGAAGGGCAGCAGCAGGCGGAAGCAGCAAAGACACCAACACTGAAAGAGTCATCCTGAATAAAGTACTAAGTGTCACTTTCCTTTTGAAATCCATCCAGGACACCGCAATGACATGGACTTTCAGACCCAAGGAATCAGATCATTTTAAGTAATTGTTTTATCAAAAGCCTGCGTCCCCAGGGGGACCTGCCTGTGGCCATATGGAGCTCAACATAGCCTCCTCTCAGCAGGACAGCCTCTCTGCTCCTTCCAGTGTCTGGACGGCAATGACACAATTCCTGGGTAGGTGCTTGAACACTTACATTTTCTTAATCAGCTCAGCTCTTGGGGCGTGCAGAAGGGACGCCCCTATAGACTGGAAAGGCCATGATAAATGGCTCTCATACAGAAATGGGGAAGCAAGGAGGCGGGGATAGATGTCCATTCTCTTTTTAAACTGTTTCTTCTTTCATATAAGGTCCAAGAAAAAGCAAATCCTTAGACAGAGAAGACAGCATCTTTTAGAGCTGATCATCCTATCAATATGGAGTTTGAAGGACATATTTTGATTGTGGCATTTCTCAAATAGCCTGTGCCTAATAGGCAACTTCCCATATGTTGAGCTCATGGGTGTACCTGCAATGAGAAGTGGCCTCCCACGCATGGGAGCAGCTAAATTCACATGCAGGAATTGTTCAGGAAATTGAGCCACTATGGGCTGCATTTAAAGAAGCAAGATTTTCAGGATTCTGAGTTGAAACTATTCTTGCTGCTGACTTTCTATGTGACCTTGGGCAAATCATTTAACCTGTAGGTGCCTCAGTTACAAGAGTTGTGTGATTCTTGGTCTAAGATGCAATTTCAAAACAGAAACTCCATCTTAACTTTTCTTCCCTTTCTACCACTTGATCTCATCATTGCAATGCAGTGTGCTGCTCCTGGCACTTTCTGATTGACCTGTCTGCCCGTGAGGGTACCTCCTTTTTCCACTGAGCTGACATAATATATGCCCAGCTGAAGGGGGCTCTCCTGCTTTGGGACATATCAGGTTCACCTGTGCAATGTATAGGGTGTAGGCACAGGGACCTCTGCTGACAAAAAAATGCTCCCTTCACCGAATCACCGAACAACTGAACTGAGAGTCCTAGTGTCATCAGATCATCTTAACCTACTCTGTGCTGCAACCCTTTGTAGTCTGTTGGCACACATGACCAGTGCATGTAACCCTCATGAGTGCAAGGGAATAGTACACACCTGGTTACAAGCTCCACTTTGGTGGGAACAACTCTAAGTGCAAATCATGCAATGTTGTCCTTTACCATATGGGACCTTCAAGTACCTTTTCAAACCACCTCATCTCTTCTGTAGTATATGGACTGTAATATGTAGTATAGTGGAGCACTCACATACTAACATAAATATATGTACTCTATAGTGTAATGTTGCATACTAATAAATATAGTACAACACATAGTATAGGGCATTAGTATGCTAATGTATACATAAAATATGCATACACTACAGAGTATTAGTGTACTAATCAGCATAGATATATTAATAATTAATATTATTACTACTAATTATTTAATTATTAGTGAATATATTACTGAGTAAAATTACTAAAATATTAATGATACTAATATACTTATATATAGCATATAATATGTAATTATATAATATATATACACTGTATATGATATATGCACTATATGTGCTGTATATACACTATATAATATGCACACTATATATACAGTATAATACACAGTATAGTAATTTTCAAGACCTGGCGAATCTTGAGAACTAAGTGGTATACATAACATTTCTGATGTGTCTGGCACATATGTGATATACTATCACCATTGGCTGTTACATTTTTACATATTTCAATTCTTCCTGTTTCCATAGCCCTTTTGCAATTAGATTTCAGCCCTGTAGGATCATTGAGATCAGGATTCTTTATTGCCCCCTCTGTAATTGAAGATGCAACAGTAAAACTGGAGATGTCGCAGGAAACCTGGTCTCATGCCTCTCTGTTCAGTGTTCTTTCTCGAAAAATCTATGCTGCTATTCCTCCTGGTTTCTGGCAAGGCACATGGTGTTTATTTCATCCTCTACATCTTCTATCCACCTTCATGGTCACATGGCACCTTGAGAGCTCAGAGTTCCATTTGGTGCTTTCATTTAATGTGAGTTTTTCCACTCATGTCACTTCATTCAGGTTCAGTTCAACAAACCTCTCCTAGGATCAGAAATCCCAGTACCTAAGTATCTATGCCAAACTGGAAGTGAACAGATGGAAAAAAAGCATGGAGTGTGCAAACAATGAATCCAGGATCACACAGTCAGTGGACAGCAATATGGGGATTTGAGCCCAGACCTGACTGAATGAGGCCTGGTCATTATTGCTGGAGTCTGTGGAAAGACATACAACATGCCCAGATGATTCTTATGTATGACATTTCCTGCTAAGCTCTGCAGGGTGATACTAATGTGCAGACCAAGGCCCTTATTTCTACCTGGTTTTATAGGGATGGCATATGAGCTGAAACTTTGATAGGTGCATGAGAGTGATCTAGGTGAATGGGAGAAGGAAGGTGGTCCAGCAGGAGGGAGCTGTAAGGAGGTGGATGAAATTACAAACAGTGTGGTTGGTTTGTGATGCACACAACTATCTACCAGGTTGGCTTACTCAGTCAGAGATCCTCAGACTTTTTCAGGAATCAGAATCACCTTGCAGAATTGTTATGACACAGGCTGCAGCTGACTATAGAGTTCCCTGTTCCATGGGTCTGGAGAGGGCCAAGAATATGCATTTCTAGTAGATTCCTGGGTGATGCTGATGCTGCCAGTTCAGGGACTCCTCTGAGTGGCTGTGACTGAGAGCACAGTGATGAAAAGGGGAGTCAGTCTGTAGGGGAGACAGGAGTGTGTTTATGTGTTCCCAGGTAGAGAAAATGAGGAAGGTCACTACATATCTATTGACATCATCTTTTCCAACAAAAGGCAAATGATTTGGGTATCTGTTCTCCCACCTGAGAATGAGGATGGAAATGCTCCAGGGTGAAGTTTTGACATGACGATTACCTTTCTGAATGTGCCATGAGGTTTTCCAGGCATTTCACAGCTCCTGGGGGCACTGCAGAACAACATCTTCTTTATAAATCTCGGCAAGAAATCCCTGTACTAGTGGACCTCAGCTTGTAATTGAGCAAGTGGAGAAGTTTGCTGAGCTTTTTCAGGAAGTAGTAACTCAGCGTCACCTTGGTGCTTCAGAGTCACAATCTGCCAGAGACACAAGCTAACCCCCAAGTGTCAGATCCTTCATGAATTGAGCTCTAAGACTTTTAAAACACTGAAAAAAAGCCCTTCTAAGAATGTCCCATAGAAAAAGGATCAGTCTTCCATTTTAGGAAACTCTTTAAACCAGTTCATTAATTCTCTACCTATTCTGCAATTATTAATTGGTTTAATAGTAACCAATCCATGAAGGTATCATTTTTTGGAAAGGCTTTTGTATGTTAAGTAATAAATTCTACTGTTTTTTTTCCTAAATGGAAATTTTCCCAGCTGAGAGAACTTAGAAAATCTATGAAAATTAATAGTTCTTTTAAATGAAAGTCTTTATCCTACATCACCCTATTTGTCAATTCTCATTGACTGTCTGACAAAAATAATCCAATTTTTTCTTTCTTCTGTATTTATTTGATTACTGTTCTTGGACTTTATAAAAAATGATTAATATGACTTTTCTTCCCATGGGAAATACAATAACTCACAGTGCATTGTACAAAAAAAAAAAGAGAGAAATGGAAACCTACAAACGATCTAATGCTTTAATAAAGTAGACCCAGTGGCCCTTCTGTCCCTTTTAATGTTTTCCCCAATCTCCCAAGTTCATTACAGGTCATGGTGAAAGGATTGCATTTTGTAGTGCTATACCCTATGTATCTTTAAATTCTGACTTGACACAGCTAATATATTTTAGGCTGAGTGTAAATCCCAACTCCATGTTTCCTCACGTTTTACACTATAATCATTGTAAGTGTGATCTTGAACATTTACCTTCTGGTCAAGAGGTGAACATTAATTGAATAATCATAAATAAATGCCTTTTGAGAACTCTCTTAAAGCACATTAAGCCTAAAAGGGAAGCGGACTGAGACACAAGCTTAAGCACAGTCCCAGTTCATGAATTTCAGACTCATGTCTTGTGTTTTCCAGTATTATGTTTTCTTATGGAATTTTCCCCTTGTCTACAGAAGGATTGAAAAGTTCTGGGAACTAATGAGCTACCTGACATGTTAGAAGACTTGAGTTTTACTGCTTTGGGGAAGAAAAAGCACTAAACATTGAAGTCCTGCCTCTAAACTTGACATCACTCTTACCAACTGTGCCAGGGACAAACTCTACCCCTGGAGGTGGACCAGTGTCCTCAACTCCAAAATGGAAATAACAAGAAGGCAAATCTCACAGGACTGTCATGTTGCTAAATAAATGAGAAAGTGTAGGGAAAGAGCTTTTAAGAAGTAAAGCAATTTCTGAAAGCATTTCCATTAAGATCTGGAACAAGACAAGGATGTCCACTCTTACCACTGCTTTTCAATATAATACTGGAAGTCCTAGCCAGAGCAATAAGACAAGAGAAAGACATACAAGGAATCCAAATAGGAAAAGAAGAAGTCAAACTATCACTATTTGCAGATGATATGATAATATACATAGAGAACCCCAAAAACTCCACAGAAAAACTAATTCAACTCATCAATCAGTTCAGTAAAGTGGCAGGATACAAAATCAACACGCAAAAGTCAGTAGCCTTCCTATACACAAACAATAAATCTGAAGAAGAAGAAATCAAAAAAACATCCCTTTTATTATCGAAACAAAAAAAAAATCAAATACTTGGGAATAAATCTAACAAATGAGGTAAAGGACCTATATAAAGAAAACTATAAAATGCTATTAAAAGAAATAGAAGAAGACACAAAGAAATGGAAAGACATCCCCTGCTCATGGATCGGAAGAATAAACATTATTAAAATGGCCATCCCACCAAAAGCAATATACAGATTCAATGCTATTCCAATAAAAATTTCAATATCATTCTCAAAGAAATAGAACAATTATTGATGAAATTCATATGGAATCACCAAAAACCCCGAATAGCCAAAGTTCTCCTGAAAAAAAAAAAAAAAGAAGGGAATGGAGGCATCACACGCCCAGACTTCAAACTATACTACAAAGCCATAATCATCAAAACTGCATGGTATTGGAACAAGAACAGACACACCGACCAGAAATAA